GCGGCTGGGGCCTATTTCAGAAGTGGGTGGGTGAGGTTCTGTGGCCTTCAGTGTGCAGGAGCTCAAACTAGAGGATCACAATGGCCCCTTCTGACCTTTGAAGTCTGAACAGTTTTAGTAAGGAAAATAAAACATTGAATAATCACAATATAAGTGGAAGTTAAGAGAGGGACTCCTCATTTATGACACCTGGGACTACTGAAAATGCATAAGAAAAATATTAGTTAATTTCTGCCAACGCTAACTCACATTGTCAGGTGTAGGAAAGTCATGTTTATAGCAATGGATCTCAGAGCCAAGGAATACCATTTGAACAATAAAAAGCAAGTCCAGACCTAGGACTAGCCATGCAAACGTAAAACAAGAGTATTGATGAATTATGGGAAAAAAGTTTTAAATTGTATTAAAGTATTAAATGAATAAATATGTCCAGGCAAGGAAATGTGCATCTTAACATGGACAGCTCCTGAACTGGGTGGTTTGTAATAATAATGTGCATTTACTGGAATATGATGCCTTCCTTTGAGATTCTCAGAGTACTGTACAAACATGGTTGCAATAAGCTAGGTAGTTAAATGCTATTACACTCATTTTACAGATGAATAAACCGAGGTACACCAAGGTATAGTAATTTTTTTCAAATATGGCCTCTAGCATTGGGTGCCTCAACTTTTGTGTGCCAAACTTGAGACAACAAAGTTTTGATTTTCAGAGATGCCGAGTCTCCACAACTCCAGGGGAAGTAAATTTTAACTCTGGGTACTCAGTACCACTGGGAAATGGGCCCTGTGTGTCTCAAACTGGGCCTACAAAATGGAGGCACTCAGTGAGTGGCCATCTTTGAAAATGTTGGCCTAACCTGTCCAGAGTTACACAGTGAGCCAGTGGCAGAGCCAGGAATTCTGAATTCTAATCCCTCCCTGTTTTGAATGTCAATCTTCCTGTGAGAATTTTGACCAGTGTACAGATTCCCTTAAAAATTAAACTTTAAATAAAAAAAGAGTATTTATGCCACTTCTGTTGGCATTGCTCATTGCTTTGTTTTCTTTTGTTGCATTATTGCTATTTAATTGCAAAGTCTGAGTCATCAATATCAAATGTTTTATAAGGTCACAATTAAAGTAATTTTTTAGAAGTTCACACTTAAGGAAGCGGTTGATTAAAATGTGATTTGTGTTTTTAATATATAACATGTAAGTGAGTTCTTATGCTTTCAGGTAACTTGGGAACTGTGCCTTTACAATTATCTTCGCCCTCTACAGCAAATAGCAGATTGATGAGAAAGGGATTATATCAATGAAGGATTTTTTTATGCATTTTTTCTGTTGAAATGCAAGGAAATTTTGTGAAATATATACAGTATTATTTTTAAGTGTCACTTCTGCCTGGGCATTCTATGATAATACAATAAAAACATTATGGCCCGGATCCCGCCAGAATTCATGCACATATTCTTAACTTTTTGCACATGAATGTTCCCACTGACTTCAGTGGGACTATGTATGAGTGTAAAGTTAAGCATGTGCATTCGTTTTTGCAGGATGAGGGCCTTAAATAGCCATTGCTATATATAAAAAGTCAAATGAAAATAACAACCAGACGAAGTGTATACAGGAAATGGGAAAAGATAATAAATAAGAAGACAACAGAGTAGGAATGATGGTCTAATGGATAAAGAACAGGACTAGGATTCAGGAGAGCACTGTTCAATTCTCTGCTTTTCCAGGCTTCCTGTGTGACCTTGAGCAAGTCACTTAATTCACTCTGTGCCTCAGTTCCCCACCTGTAAAACTGGAATAGTATTTCCCTACCTTACAAGGGTGTTGTGAAAATAAGCAGTCGTGATTGTGAGGCTATGGTAATAAGGGCAGAGTAAGTACCTAAATAGATAAAAAAATGTTCAAATAAACAAAATAATGGGGGGAAGGGCATGAAGTGTTGTTTCAATATGGAGTGGAATGGATGTAAAAGAGAGCATATTCTGTACTTTATGGTCCACCACAACATGCTTGCCTAAGCTGAGATCCCTAAAAAGCAGGTGGTGTCTACATGCAGATGTTAAGTCTGTCCTGTTACGCTACATATATTGTTGCAAAATATAAAGTACTAAGTAAATGAGATTTTAAAAAGTTAAAAATACCCCTCCCGTCAAACAAACCTTTTTCAGGGGGTTATTTTGGTATCTTGTGTTAAGAATCTCACTTAGTTGGCCTGAGTGGCTAACCTGCAGGGAATTATTTTTATCAATTAAAAATTACTGTTTACTATTTATAGTGGCATTAAAATATAGAAATGTTGGGCAATGTCATCCAAAGCAGCTGGGCAGGACGCTCTGTGAGGCTGAACATGAGAAGATGCTTCATGGAGGGGGACCAGGTGCTGGGTGGGATACAGTGTTGGGATCCCCAGGGCAGAAAACTCCATTGCACAGGCATCTGTGTAGAGGATTAGGTTATCTGTACTGCTCTTTTGGTTCCTCTTCTCCCTGGGCAGCATGGCGCTTCATGTATATTTCTTACACACACATCCATCAGGTTGACCTCTGAAGCCATTATGGTCATATGTTACCTGTATTCAGAATGAGTATATGTACCAAAATATGCACCACACAGACACTCTCAAGTTGTTACCTCCCCCAAATCTGAGCCGTGTATACATTGATGGGGAATATCCCTCAGGGTTTAAATATCTATTAATTTTACATCCAGCATTATGTGGTTGAGAGTTATTTTAGAGTCATTTGGTCAAAATCTTTTCTCAATTATACCTCAACAACCCCAGTGGGGTATAAAGGAGGGTCAAAATCTTCTCTCAATTACACCTCTATAACCCCTATCTATGTTTAGCCTTACAATACATGTATACAACAAAGGTAAGCCATTTTCATTGGTTAAATCAGGACTGAAAATACTCCAAGTGATAAGATCTAAGGTTCCATAGCAATACTCAGAACAATTTCACTGAAATTAGTGAAAGGGGATGTAGTGTTATGGGGGGCAATGAAACCTGGGTTTGTTAGGACTGAGAAGGGTGTTGTTTTATATTTGTTTAATCAGACATTGTCCTCTTCTCCTTATGATTTTCTCTTGTTAGGACATGGCACATGCACCCGTGTTTTCTCTCTTGATGAATGAAGCAGAGCTCAAGGAGTTTAGCTGAGATTGGCTTCCACTTCAAGAAAGATTGCTTCTTGCTGACTGAATTATAATTTTAAAACATGGAAGCTGTTCATCAGGAAGCCAACACTTTAACTCCTTACATCTCTTCTGCCTCATATTTGATGGGTGAAATTTTGGCCAATTGAAGTCAATGGGAGTTTTGCCATGGACTTTAATAGGGTCAGAATTTCACTGTGATGACCCAGCATTAATGTGACACCATCAATAATATTATTAATAACCCACTCCTGCATCTTTTGATAGTCCAAATCCATTTAATATATCATCCAAATTATTTAAATGTGTTCATCAAGGTACCAAGCCTGCAGTTGGATCCAGTAGAGTGCCTATCAGAAGCCTCATTGACTTCAGTATTGTTCCTCCTGAGTAGAGATAGAATTGCAGGGTCAGGCCCTTGTTAGCAAAGTTTGGTGTTCTAGCATATTGTGGTATTTCATGTTTGATGAAGCAATTGCTTTATGGCAGAAGAGAGTAAAGAAACACAGTCAATTCACACAAACTTTGACTATGACATGTGCATAGTAGGTCATTTTAGGTGCACATCATGTATAAAACCATGTCAGATTATTCCAGAGGTCTGAGCCATGAGAAACCTTTGATTTTTGGTTTGGCTTGGAAATTCCAGCTTCACGCTGCCTATGTCCAAGGAACATTCTGATGAGGCTCCTCACTGTGTCCCCTTTTAAATGGAGATATCCTATCTCCTAGAACTGGAAGGGACCTTGAAAGGTCATCGAGTCCAGCCCCCTGCCTTCACTAGCAGGACCAAGTACTGATTTTTGCCCCAGATCCCTAAGTGGCCCCCTCAAGGATTGAACTCTTAACCCTGGGCTTAGCAGGCCAATGCTCAAACCACTGAGCTATCCCTCCCGGGAAAGACAAGGCGGGTGAGGTAATATCGTTTATTGGACCAGATTCTGTGGGTGAACCACAAGCTCCATGGAGCTCTTTCTTCAGTTATTTACAAATTTTGAAAGTTTCCGCTTGCCGCAATCACCTCCTCTAAGGTACAAGTATCAGCTCATGACACATTAATGTAGCTCGTTGTTAACATCATGCACTTTCAAATCTGTTACCAAATGGCTGGTAGGCCCAAATCTAGCAAAGCACTTAGGTCCATGTGTCACTGTAAGTATATGAATGGTCCCGCCCATCATAGTCAATATGTTCACCCTTTTACAGTGCTAAATGATCCTTAGGAAATTACCAAAAAAGGCATAAAGACAACACTTAGCTTTGAAGTCAATACATTTACTCATGCTTAAATTTACCCACATGCTCAAATACATTGCTGGATTGAGATCCTAGTGCATGAGCTGAAAGGTTGAACCCATATCTGAACTATGATTGACCAGTTGTCTGCCAAATGAAAACAATGTACAGGGAACTTCCTTTCAACCTTCATATTGTGTCACATTAGATGCATTTCTGACTTTATATTAGTGTGTGTGTGGGGGGGTTGTTTTCTTTTTGCCCATATTGTAATTTTCTAAGGATTTATTTTGTATTGTAACTAGGCAAACACATTAGTTAAAGCCAGATAGCATCTTCTGACCAGCTTTGCCAGTAAATCACTGAGCTATGTAATTGAGTTTGTGTAAAATTATGCATTGTAACCTTGGGAATAAATAAAATAGGGAGAAAAAAGTAGATCTTTTAACTCATACCATTTTTTCAGCACACAATTTCTTTTGATTCTTCTTTTGCCCTCCAACTTGATCATGTTTGTCCTTCTTTCAGAGTTCAAATGAAAAACAAACTACAGTATGAAAGTGGTGAAATTTAACTGAAATGGGTAATGATGTCTGATTTGGCTTGTAGGTGGAGTGGAAGACAATGCCTGCATTTATGGTTAACTATAAGTGATACACTAGGAAGATGATGGTATTCAGACACACACAAACAATTTGATTCAGACAGATTGGATACAAGATTTCAACCAGCATAAGGAGAACAGGTGAGAACCCTTGAGTGTGAAGCTAAAATAATAAGTATTCTGGTGGACAGGGAAAATATTTCTGCTATAATACAATAGACCTTCTATTATATATTAAAACTCTTAATTTAAATCTTCCCAAAGACTTCTTATAAATTAAATGGAAATACAAACATGCTAATCAAATGGGGAGGCATATTTGCAGATAGTCACTAAATCAGTGACACATCTTCACAATTTTAGCAGTGTTAAATAGCAGGTTTGCTTTGATTTAATTTAATTCAACGATTCCTTCTATCTTCACAGGTATGTTTGCAAAGAAAATCTGCTGACCCTGACTTGTAACTTAGGTTTTTGTTGTTGTTGATTTCCATGCTATTTACAGCCAAATGATGGGGTCAAAGCTTCCTAACAGCATGGCCAACAGATGTAGCACAGAGATGACAACTGGAGGTTTCAGTGCTCTTTTGTTACCTGAGCACTGACTGATGGTTGAGATGCTGGAAGTCTGAATGTCAAAGGGCACCAGAAGGCTCTTACAGTCTTTGAAGCCCAAATCTACTTGGGAGAGAAAAGGCAAAAAAAAAATAATGCTTTTTGCTTACCTTTATGTAGAAGTGAAACGAGTAGTTTGCTGGAGATTCATACTCTAGAAAAGAGGCCCCTTATGTGCTCTGAGGAATTTAATGGAGTTTTCTCATCAACTTTTCGATGGAAAGCAAGCTTTGAAAGCTGTATATATTTAATGTTTGGAGATTTGGTGGTTTTATCTAAAAAGTTAAACTAGGTATTGATAGAAAAGAAAATTTCTGAGTTCAGAACAAAACCAGCCCCTCTGTGTGCTTACAGAAAGTTTTCTCCATTGACTTTGTTTAAACTTGCTTTGGGTGTGAGAGCTTAGAGACCTTTAGGTCAGAAAAATGATTGCTAATACACCAAGTGTTGTTCTTCCTTTTCTCCACTACTAGCTGTAATTAAAACAATTATTGAAAATGTTTCAAATCTATGTAGTCCTTAGTTAACTTTTAAAATTTGTATTTGAAGAAGAGCAGTACAATTAGTTTGTATCTTGCTCAGAAAAGTGCTAATGACTTGAGAATGGACATTACTGCATTGCCAACAAAAAGAATGTGATTAATATTACACTTGAATTTATACAGAGTTATTCAGTTAACTATTTTGTATTGGAAATTAATTTCCATATCTCAGAGGTGTCTACAGACTCATGAATACTGTGTTCCCAGTACACAGTCAGATAGGTCTTCCACTTAATATACATGGCATTTAGAGAAAAAAAAAAACTTTAGAAAGAGGTAAAGTGAGGCTTGCCAGGATAACTGAGTGATACAAATAGTAAATCTATATTCTACAGATTATCCATTATGTAAATTTAAAAAGTGTTAGGGATCATTATTTTGAAGAAAAAGAAATAAGAAAAAAATTACGGTTTTGTCTTTCTAGAAAGAAAAGTTCCTTTGGAAACTCAGAGCAATAGAAACTTACAAAAAAGCATGTTTTTATTTTGAAACATTTCTTTCCATATCTTTGTTTCTTTAATACTTCAGAACTGACTTTACAAATCTTATCATTCAGGCAGTCTTGGAACAAGACTTTAGTTTTACAACAAGCTTCTTGGTAATTCGTTCTTCTTCGTCCTTTAACAATAGCCCTTAAACATCATTACAAATCAATATACTATGTCAGTTTAAAGTGAATAATTCAGATTGGATAGCAGAGATGAAAAGTATAAATTATGAACTGTGTATATAACAGATGAGTACATGGGATCGAAATATATAATATATATTATATCCAGCTGCTAATTGGAGAAATATTTATGAAAACACACCTATTCCATTAAAGACTTGTGAGAAGTACAAATTCATTGATAAAAGGGGTGTGTTGACAAGAAAGCACAAAGTATACTGCAGAAATAGCCAAAGTTCTATTTACAGGTGCAATAGTTGTAATGGTTCTTTCCCTAATAGCTGAGTTCATGCCTGCAGAATATGCAGACAAGTTGGAGGTGTCCATTCAGAAGTAACTGCTGCACTGACAAATTCATTTTTCCCCAAGCGTACATGTGCTTTATTTATATATTGTTTTTACCACCTCCTAATCTCATGGCTCCTCCCCTTCATTATTTTGGTTTGGTCTGGAATTGTGGATCTCGCTGAGATGAAAATGAGATGTGATAACTGGCAGTGCAGAAAATACTGGTTAGTGAATTTTCAAAACAAGCTTAATTGACGAGGGCTTGTGAAATGACCTGTTTTTCTAAAGCCTGTGTACAAACTTGCATGTGCATGTTTGCATGCTCCAATTGCATAGATGTAAATGTTACTTGAGAGCACATGCATATATCTACACACACCTGATGCATGCACGTACCTACATACATGTACAGAAGAACAGTTTTACATATGTGCCTTTGAAAATCTGGACTAATATTTATTAGTTAACAAACAACTGAACAAAAATATCAGTAATGATAGCTTCAAAGAGTGATATTTCCCCCCCGCCATAAGTTTTAAAAAATGACCTAACAGTATTTGTACAAATATTTTCCAATAATTAAAGGCAGTGTAATCTCTTCCTCTTTCTATGCTTTTCTGTGGACATTTTTGACTATAATATGGACAAAAATAATATACAAATATTAATCTCCATCTTTGTTTCAGCACAACCTCAATTTGACATTGCATTTTTGTCAGGTGGAACAAAGAGCAATAAATTAGTTTTGAACGTTTATGATCTTGTATTATAAAGACTCTGCAACAGACGGTGTTCAAAATCAATTGTCAAAGTGATGGGGGATTAATAACTCTGGGTAAGGGCACAATTCAAGATCAACTGGGCATTTTTCAAGATCAACTGCCATGTTTCATTATTGCAACTTATATTTTAAATATGTTTCAGATGCTTTTTTAAAAACAAATTAATTTTTAGTAGAGCTGAGTGAATAACTCATAACGAATAACCGAGTTGATGAATTTTGTCTTCTGTTTATGGAATGTTTTTGAAATTATTTGGTAATTTTTTTTATGAGTTTCAGTGACTACGTGGCCTGCTATTCAAAATCAGAAATTCAAGCTATATTGCTTAGTTGTGACTTATTACAAGTCACATGGTATTGTTTCTGTTCCCTGACAAGTTGAGGGCAAATCCTATAATCAGATTTCTGGGGTGAATGTTTGTGGAGGGCAAATTTAAAAATCCCTTTCGACAAATATATAAGTTTATAATTGGCTTTAACAAACAGAACGGGTAGTAAAAATCCAATGGTGTGAAAGTAGTTGGAAAGTAAACACACAGAGACATAAATATGACTGAAGCAAAGTCGTTTTAAAATCCAAATGAATATTTACAGACATTTTTGTAGTATTTGCCCAGCTCTAGTTTTCCTCTTATTTGCTCAAATACCTATTTTGAGAAAAGACCACCAAGTTTAGACAATAAATGTAAAGGGAAGTGTAAAGGAGGGCTGTGGGTGCTAGGTTCCAAACACTGACAACTTCACTGAATAATTTTAGCTCTCCAAATAGGGGTGGTTTGAATCTCAATTGTATTTCATAATAATGACATAAATTCAGTGATAGTTGTCTTGTTCTGGTAAGACCCTAGTTTTCTTCATCCCTCAGCCAATGACTTTGGGTCATCAATGGGAGATCCATTTGTAGACTGTGGGCTATGACAGATGTGTGGGCTATGTCTCTTTTTATATATGTATATTATTTTGCCTTGCCTCTAAATACAGGGAAAACACACAACATATTTTTCAACAAAATGCACATGCATAATCTCAAGAGCCATGCATCCCATTTAACTGTCATTTCCTTTGATTAACCTTCACCTGACCTCACTCCCTAAGGCAATTTCATTTCCTTTTGCCCCTACATTTAAATACTGCACTCTATCAGGTAAGTACATCTGTCATTGAAGAGCTGGCTATGTTATTAGAGCTCACCATAAATGTTTGTTATAGAAAACAGTTTGCAGAATCTTGCTCTATTGAGGATAGCTTAGTTCAATGCAAACAGACCTGTTGTGAGCAGTTCTGTCCCTCCTTTAGAAAAGCATGCACTCGTGACCAAGAAACTACATAAATATAGTTTATGCATTAAACCCCGCATTATCGAGGTGTGTAGATATGTGTTTTTATTCATAGAATTTCAGGCTAGAAGGTGCCATTATTAGAATTAGTAGGGAATTTTCCAAATCAACTTTTTTTATTGGTAAATGCTGATTCATTGAAATGGAAACTGTTCACAGGAAAGGGACAGTTTTGGTGAAACTACTGATTTAAAAAAATATATATTTTTTTGAACCTTGAAGCATCCTGTTTGAACATATTTCAAATGAAAAGTTTTGCTTTTTGTTTGAAATGACTATTCATTTCAAAATTTTAGATATAAGGTATTTTGTTAGAGAAAAGGTTGAAATAGAAATTAAATATTTCAAAATTATCAGGATGCAAGTTTCAATGAACCTGAGCCACATTTTATTTTATTTTATTTTATTATTAATTCATGAAAATTTTTGAGACAACTTTTTGTCCCAGGAACAGGAAAAAAATTCAAAATTTTGAAAGGGAAAACTGTCTCCTGTCCACCTCTAGCATAAACGAGGGCACAGACCCTCACTCAATAGTTCTTGCGTCAAGCCCATTACTTCTGTTCAAGCCATAACATATCTTTTAGGAAAATATCCAATCTTGACTTTAAGACTGCAAGTGATGGTGGATTCTCTATGTTCTTATGTAAGTTGTTCCAATGGTTAATTACTCTCACTGTTAAAAATATGCACCTTAGTTCTAGTTTGAATTTGTCTAGCTTCAACTTCATTGGATCTCGTTATGCCTTTTCATACTAAATTAAAGAGATGTATATTACCAGAAATTTGTTCCCTGTATAAATACTTGTACACCATGGTCAAGTCACCCATTAATCTTATTTTTAATAAACAAACTAGATCAAGCTTCTTTAGTCTCTCATTATCAAGTCTGTTTCCCAGTTCTTGAA